GAGGGTTCTGGGTGCTGGGACAGAGCCCCTCAGTGAGCAGGCCCCAATATTGTCAGCAGCGGACGGGCAGAGCCGTAGAGGGAGGAGATGAAAGAATAAAAATAAACCTTCCCGAGCAGCCACCCAGCCGAGCAGAGAACGTTCTCTGTTTCTCCTCTTCACCACCCATGTCCAGAAAGTGACCAGCCCCTCCTCACTCTTCCCATGACTCAGACCTGCCTGTGTGGGCTGGAGGGTTCTGGGTGCTGGGACAGAGCCCCTCAGTGAGCAGGCCCCAATATTGTCAGCAGCGAACGGGCAGAGCCATAGAGGGAGGAGATGAAAGAATAAAAATAAACCTTCCCGAGCAGCCACCCAGTCGAGCAGAGAACATTCTCTGTTTCTCCTCTTCACCACCCATGTCCAGAAAGTGACCAGCCCCTCCTCACTCTTCCCATGACTCAGACCTGCCTTTGTGGGCCGGGCCCTCACCCCACCTGGAAAAGCAGCCACATTTGAGACACCTCCACATCACAGTGCCTTTGAAACCCCCATTAGGGAGCATCCTCTTGGGGAATGGGGGGGCACTGTGGAGGACAGTCAAGAGTTTAAAGACCTGGGTGCAGAGGCTAACTTTGCCACAAACTGCTGGGATAGCCTTGGGAGACCCCCTTCTCTCTGAACCTGAGTTTTCTCACCTGTGCAAGGGGTCTCAGAGGAAGCAGGAAGTGCCGATGTCCTTCATAAAGTGTAAAAGGCTGTAGGGAGGTGAGGAGTGGTTACAAGCAGCATCTCCGAGCTGCCTGTGGAGTTGCTGCCAGGCCAGCAGGGCACTGGGGAGACAGACCCCTGGAGGCTGGATCGGCCAGCACTCTGTGTAACCTACAGCGAGGGGCTCTCAGAGGACTAAGGTTCCATCCCACTCAGAACCTAGGCTGCCTTCTCTAAAAAAGAAAGCAGGATAGGTGAGGAGTGGTTACAAGCAGCATCTCCGAGCTGCCTGTGGAGTTGCTGCCAGGCCAGCAGCGCACTGGGGAGACAGACCCCTGGAGGCTGGATCGGCCAGCACTCTGTGTAACCTACAGCGAGGGGCTCTCAGAGGACTAAAGTTCCATCCCACTCAGAACCTAGGCTGCCTTCTCTAAAAAAGAAAGCAGGATACTGGCAGGTAAAAGATTTAGGCTCTTTGGGGACCACCTGCCTAATTCCTGTCCCTGCTGCAGATGGCAAACCGAGGCCAGAGGGGGGATGGTCTTGTCCATAGTCACAGCAGGGCAGAGCAGTGTGGCTGAGACTCTGCCCTAGACTGCATGTCCCCTCTCCCAGGAGCAATCTCTCTGCTTGTGGACCTACTATGTGCCTGTGGCTTTTCATGTGTCCCCACAAAAACCACCCCACAGAGTTGGGGTCCTGATTCCTACTTCATAGAGGAGGAAACTGAGTCTCTGGGAGATGAAACCTCTTGCCCAAGTTCTTTCAATGGTTAATGGTGGAACTGGACCTGGAACTCCGGTCATGGGACCCACATATGTGCTCTACCTCTGCCAGCCCTGCCTACCCCTGGTTCACGGCTGCTGCTTTCTCCCTCCACAGGACCAGCCCCCAGCGAAGAGGCTGGAACCAAGGCCCGCTTCCCTCTGCGTGATGCTGTGGAGGAGGGCACCTGGACGGCCACCGTGGTGGACCAACAGGACAGTGTCCTCTCGCTGCAGCTCAGCACCCCAGCCCACGCCCCCATTGGCCTGTACCGCCTCAGCCTGGAGGCCTCCACCGGCTACCAGGGCTCCAGCTTCGTGCTGGGCCACTTCACCCTACTCTTCAACAGCTGGTGCCCAGGTGGGCTGCACTCCATCCACGGGCAGAGGGGGTGGGTAGCGGTTAGGGCTGGAGCCACCCTTGGAGGCCCCCAGGGGAGGGAGAGACAGGACAGAAGAGACATCAGGGTGGACTGAGGGAGGCCCCTGCACCAGCTCTGTGCTCCCACCTCACAAAACTCTCACTACATGAGTACTCTTGTTATCCCCGTGTGTGGATGAGGAGACAAGGTCACAGAAGCAAAATGACTTGCCCAGGGCCACACAGCTACCAAGGGATCCCCCCTGTGTCTGAGGCCCATGTGTTCCCATAGCAGTGTGAACTGGGATGTGGCGGTGTCTTGGTTTCAGAGCCCCCACGTCAGGAATTGGGTGCCCAGCTGATGCCCAGGGCCGGGGCACCATGTCCTGGTTGTGTATCGTGGGGCCCTGTTTTAAATCTCACCTGGACTGGTTTGGGGAGGGGAGAGAGAGGGAGGTGGAGGGATAGGGAACCAGGAGAGGCGAGTGGGAGCGGTTTGGTTACCTGCTGCCTCCTTAGACATCATCTCACTTGTTCCTTCCAACAATCCCAAGGGGGAGATGTCAGCGTTCCCATCTCACAGACAGGAAACTGAGGCTCAGGAAAGTTAAGTGGCTTTTGAGAGCTCCTTCAATAAGTGGACAATGTTGGACAAAACTGGAAAGCCAGCAGGGAGAGGTTGGAAGAGGTGAAGGCTGACTTGAGCAGGAGGGGGGAGGCCCCTGCCCAGGCCTCGGTTTTCCCATCTGACTAATAAGGCATTTGAACCTGATGATCTGTTTCCTTCCTGCTCTGACCTAGCAAAGCACGGAGACCTGGGAACAGAAAGTCCCTCCTCAAAGCCTGGGCCCGGGGCAGAAATTCTGGCCTCCCCACCATCAGGCAACCACCTTCTGACTGGGCCACTGCTTTATTTTTCCTCCATTTTGAGGCATTTTATAACCCGCTTGAGCAGAAAGCTTTTTAATTTTCTCTTTTGCATAGGTGGGCTTTTATTTCTAATTATATAACAGTAAGACTTGAGAACACCCTCTTTAGAAAATCTTCATGTGCTACAAAGGAACAGCCTCTCCTTTGATTCCCCCTCCTTGGAGGACACCATCTTTGGGGACCTCATTTCCTTAGAATCATCTGTATGTACCTGGAGAAATGGCTGTATATTATGGATCTCTCTCAAACTTAAAAGGATCCCACAGTATAATCCACCTACAACTTCATTTTTTCCCCACAACAATACATCTCAAAGATCTGTCCACATTGGTTTGCAACATCTGCCCATTCTTTTTAAGAGCCCAGACTGTCTAGTACTTTGCCCGTGTGGACAGTTCATTCGTCCAGCCCCCTACGATGCACATGAGGTTATCCCCAGTGGCTTATCCCAGGGAGGGTATCCCAAGAGCACTCCTGCTCACGTGCCCCATGGCCACATGGAACGATTTCCCAGGACAAAAGTGGCCTTGCGGGACCATGCTGTATGCTAGTTTTGAATTTTAGTCTGGCTGCAGAGGGTTGCAAGTAGTTGGCAGCTGTGCCACAGAGCAGGAGCATGCCAGTGGTCCCGCCCTCGCTGCTGCCACCACAGGCTTTTAGAGTTCAGGGAACGGGGAGTGTGGTTCTGGGGGATGTCTGCCTTCCTCCTGCTCTGCCTCACCCTGTGGGTTGGGGTGGCGGTCATCCAAGCAGCACAGTGACTACAGTGACCTACATCCCGGGGAGGAGCCTTGAGGAGGAGGCAGAGCGGGTGATGTGAAAGCAGGAAATTGGGCTCCGGTGGGGGCGGGGGCTCTGGGGGAGGAAATCGTTCTGATGGTGGGAAAGGGCTGGATCTGCCTGCGAAACAGGACCCTCCTGTCCCTAAGCTCCAAGACGGAATGATCTCGTGCCAGTTATGTGCCAGTGTGCATCCCCAGTTCCCCCATCTTTACCAGATGGAGACCTGAGTGGGGGACATCTCAGTTCTGGTTCCCTGAGCCGGGGTGGGGACAAGTTGGCAAATGCTGACACTCTCGCTGCAATGACAAAACACCGTGGGTTTTTCTTCTTCCTCTATTCTTTCTCCCACACTGCCTGGCTGGTTCACAGCCACATAGTTTATTTACTTTAAGGTTAATTTTTATTGCACAATCTCCAGAGCCTAGCAGCAAGATTTACAAGGGGCTCTGCCATTTACCCATTTGCTCTCCTTGCAGCAGTAAAAGTGGGAATTGCTGGTCACCGCGGATGGGCATGACGGGCCTGGGGTCCCAGGGTCTGGCAGCTGCACCCCAGGCCCAGATCCGACAGGAACTGGACAGGCTTTCCCAGGCCTACTTCTCCATTAGACACACTTGGCTCAATGTCTGGGTTCCATGATACTTTTAGGGGCCCACAAAAATGTTTTAACTTTTTTTGAAATCAGAAGGAAAAAAAATGAACATTTAAGTCCAACAGTATGTTTTAATGTGTAATATTAAGATAGGCATCATTATGCCGATGCAGTCTTAAAATTTATTTATCTGTTTTTTAATGGAGGAGGGAATTCATGGAAGCAGAAATGCTTAGGTCCCCCCAGAGACACAACGTGGCTCTGGATTTCCCCTTCCCAGCCTCAGTTTCTTCATCTATGAAGTGGAGACTATAAAGCCAGTCTGACCTTTGGGCTCCTGCCATCTGGCCCCAATGTCCTTAGCCCTTTTTTCCCCCTCATTAGCCACAGGCAGCTAAGTGCTCTGCATTGGCAGTAGCCAAACCTTTGATCTCTCTGGTCTTCTGCTTAGAATGCCATCAGCCAGGCTCCACCTAAATAAACTTTAATCGTTTATCAAGGCAGTATTCACATGCCACCTCCTCCAGGGAGTCCTCCCTGACTCTCCAAGCTGAACAGGATCCTGCCTTCCCTGAACCTCAGTGACCTTTCTCGGCTTTCCCCTCTGGCACTGAATTCTCCACCTTGCGTCATGCTCACTCCTCATGCTGGCACACAGCTTTAGTTTCCAAAACACCTTTCAGGTCTGCAGACACAATTTACTCTTGGGCTAACAGTGAGATGTCGAGGTGGGCAGAGAAGGCCAAGTGTCCTGCCCAGGGTTACACAGCAAGTGAGGAGCAGGGACAGGGGTCTCCCGACTTCTGGTACAGCCAGTTCTCCTCTATCTCTTGTTTTGGCATCAGTTTTCTCGGCCAAGTGTCCTGCCCAGGGTTACACAGCAAGTGAGGAGCAGGGACAGGGGTCTCCCGACTCCTGGTCCAGCCAGTTCTCCTCTATCTCTTGTTTTGGCATCAGTTTTCTTATCTTTAAAATGGGGCTTTCAAGTGTTCCTTCCTTGTAGGGCTCTTGTGAAGATTAAATCAATTAATACACATCATACATTTATCACAAGTCCTGGCCCATGGCACCTGTTGAATAAATGGCAGCCTTTGTCATCACTAACTGGTAACACCTTATCCCATTGACATGGGATTATTAATTAATGATTAATTTTTTAAATTAAAAGATAGAAAGACCTCTGAGATGCTGGCTTGGCCCAGAGAGTTGGCACTCTGGCTGCCAGGTTTGCAGGGACCCTGGGCCCCACCAGACCCAGAGCTGAGGCCCTTTTCTTCCTGCCCACAGCGGATGCTGTGTACTTGGATTCAGAAGAGGAGCGGGAGGAGTACGTCCTCGCCCAGCACGGCTTTATCTACCAGGGCTCAGCCAAGTTTATCAAGAGTGTACCTTGGAACTTTGGGCAGGTAGGGTCCCACCTTACCCCACAACCATCTCAGGTTCTCCTGTGTGCTGGGTCTGTGTCTGGGCAGCCAAAGCTGCAAAGATATGAGTTGGTTGTAGAGTCACCCACCCCATGTTGTCAGGATACAAGGGCCCTGAAATGGCTAAAGGCTCAGGAAGGGCTGAAGCTGGCCTGAGGTCACACAGCAAAGGGAGCAGTGCTGGATTCAAGGTGGGGAAAGAGTCAGTAGAGCCTTTAGGAGCTGTGAAATTGGTTGGTATTCTGGGAGGAGAAAGAGTGAACAATTAAGGCCGTATATCAAAATCATAGGCAGCACTTGGAGGGTGCCTACTACATGCTAGGCATGTATTGAGAAGGGGTTTTAAGCTATTATCCAGATCAGTGGTTCCCAAACTTGAATGTACATCAGAATCACTGGGAGAGAGAGTTAAAACACAGATGGCTGGGCCCCAGCCCTATTTTTGGATTCAGTACGTCTGGGTGAGAATTTGCATTTCTTTTTTATTTTTTTTCCTTTTTGTCTTTTTTTGTGTCCGGCAAC